TAAAAAAAAAATTTTTGAATTTACTTACTTGTAGCCGGAGTTAGAGGCGGTCGGATACTTATGACCGCTACTGTATAGGTAATTTAGCTCAGGTAAAAAAATGTGTTACGTTAGAAGGAAAAATATGAGTTTTATTTCTGGTAAGAATGCAAGTGTTAATATAGGTTTTTATGTCACACAGGAGTTATATCATTTCACGTGACCCATTTCTCATGTACAGTACAATAATACTTTATTTATGAAATAAAAAACATTGCCAGAACCCATGGCCTACAATACATAAAATTAGCCATTAAGACGCTTCACATGACTATATCGCTAATACATGATGTAGAAATTATTATTCAGGAAAAAGGGGATGGTAGACAAAAATATGAATCATATCTTCATCCGGATTCTCAGAAAAATAAACCAAAATCATATTCTCTGGTTGCATATGTCTTCTTTGTATACTGGTTGGATAAATTTGTTGAAGATGAAAGTTATGAGGACAGACTGGAAGATGAGGCACTAATATACCCCTAATTCTATCTACAATAACAGAGACAAGGTCGTTTTTGGAAACCTCAATCACGAAAATTACATTTCTATTTTGACTATTACGGAAATGGAGGTTAAGGCTTATAATATCACTATTATCAGTGGTAGACATCTTGCTTCTTGTTATCTATCGATAATAAGGCTATAGTGAGAAAACTCGTTTCATACATACACAACTTCTGGTATATATATACCTTATTTGCGTTATTTTCTCTGGAAAAGTTTTTGGCGGAAAGTAGGCTGAACTTCCACATATCCCTACATGCTTTATATATTGCTGGAAAAAAGATAAGGAGATAAGAATAGTGATTAGCATTGTCATATGATGCCAAGAGCTCCATGGCCGAAGGTGCTAAAGCAAAAGTACATGCAAATGAAATCTTCAAACCCTTTCACATGGAGATCTACCAGAAAGACATAGTTGGTTTTACGTCTAGCGATCTCAAAATTGTGAGTCCCTCAGCCCTCCATAACATATGCTTTTGACGTTAATATTTACTTTTAGAGTAGGTCCTGTGTTGCATGTAAACCTTCTTTCACCTTCTTTTACATTTGTACGGGAAAAAATAGAGGGACCGGTAGTGTATATTTTTCTATTATATGTGAAATTAATATGTAAAACAAGACCTACATTGCGATTAGCCTATTTTTCTATCACACAGAGGCATGTGGCCATTTAGCAATTTCTTCCGAGCTGTTGATCACCTCTCAACCTGCTCCGGACCAGCTAGTCTGTTCTTTTTGTAAATAATAAGTCTATCTATCAAAGAATCAAATGGAAGTCCTAAGTCGCATGAAGTGACTTTTGTCTCGTATGCAGGTAATAGGCTACGAATGAATTTTTCTTTAATGTTTTCAGCAGATTTACCACTAGACATACTAGTCACCACATATAGGAAAAACATTTCACAATATTCTTTCACAGATTCCTTCTACGTAGGCGCTGGTATCTCTTTTTTCTTCTCGGATTCTGGAGCTCTCATTGTTATAATTGTCGATATAATCATTTAAAATTGAAAAAAAAATCTTTTGAGCTGGTAGGTGATCACTGCTCTGGGATGATGATCAGTATTCTGGACTCAGCCATTAAGGCATTTCGCTAAAATTTCTACATTAAATATATTACTTTATTATAGCAATTATGGCAAATAATAATCCCAAAACATTTGCTTAATTATATGGACTGTTTTTATATAAGAAGAAGGATATAATAGATATTCAGAAAAAACTCAGTATTAGTGGGAATGCAAATCAGTTGACAGTGCCTCTGGATTCTGAGCTCATGGGGAAAACACTTGCTGATTCGTACGAATTGTTGTTAGAATTAGTAGGGGATTTAATATTGATACAGGAGAATCTCAACATTAATGGTAATCCTGTTCTAGAAGTGGAATATCGAAGCAATGAAGCTTCTACAGATATTTCATTGGGGAGATATTTAATTTGCTTATGTATTTGGAAGATGATATAATAGCAATTCAAGAAGAGCTTGGTATTGTTGGTTATTCTAACTAAGAAAGGGCAGAAGAGACCGATAAAAATGCAAGAGTATATCTTCGAAAGTTTAAGGAATTCCATGGTCCCTTAGAAGATATTCCAAGTGTAATATTAGAGAAATATTACGAAATAGGAGTAAAGAAAATTTGGTATACTGAAAAGGGGCTACTGTTATTTCCAAAGGTCTCTCCTCAACAATTACACGAAATTTCATAAAAAATTTAGCTGGCACAGACCAGTGCCCATGTCTAGAACAGGTTAGATAATCTATATTTTTTTGTCACACAGGATATAACCCAACAAAAAATCTTCCGTGCTGATTACTGATTCAGGTTAGTTAGATCGGTATAGTACCACCATTCTGCTTGATCAGCTAGTATTCTATTGAAATAATTCCTTGGTGATCGTCTGATAGGATGCCAGAATATTAGATCTAAAGCCTGCGCCAAATTCTGATTGTTATGCATACTTAGATCTAAAAGTCTCTGAAGTCTCTGAGCTAAAATCTCTCTACTAGCAACATT